AGCTGGGAACTGAAGCACCACATCCTCACCCCGAAACTACCCAAGCAGAATCCTCAGCAAGCAGCAAATATCCCAAAGCAAACAAAGGGTCCCAGGACAGCACCCAGCACTCCACAGACCCCCTTCCCACCCAAACCCTCCACACTCCACCTCAGGGGGTATCCATCTGCTCAGCAGTGCCCAAGATCTTTCCTGGGAGAGTGAAGCTTTTTCATTTTCAAGATCTTCTCAGCCAAAGAAATTGCAAATGATATTCACACCCCCCAGGCACTGTTCAGGGATCAAGTTCAAGCTTGCAGAATCACAATCCAGAGGTGGAATTGCTTCTCTGGAGCCTCCTCCCTCTGCCACGAGTTGCCATTTCCAGGTGGTTCATGTGAAGAAGCCAGAGAGCACCCAGCCCCCTGCTCGGGGGCCTGAGGGCTCACACACACACCAGGATGTGCCCCAACATGGGAACTGCCCTGAGCTGGCTCTGTGTGCAGATAGAGGGTGTGCATAGAGGTGGAAGGTGGGCAGTGATGAGGTGGGTGAGAAGTCAAGGACAAGGGGGCGGGAAAACTGGGGGTTCCTCATTTCCCCAAGGTCCCACCTGCATTCCCCTTCCCCCATGCAAGTAAAACCTGGGAAGGTGAAATATGTCCCAGGCTGTGGCACCAACAAACAGATAAGTTTTCCGGCATTCCCTTCCATAGCGTTGCTGCCTGCCTCTAGCCAGAAAAGGGGTAAATACAGCCAGAAATGTGCAGATCCAGTCAAAAAAGCAGTAAATCCAACCAGAAATGGGCAAGTCCAGCCAGAAAAGGGGTAAATACAGCCAGAAATGTGCAGATCCAGTCAAAAAAGCAGTAAATCCAACCAGAAATGGGCAAGTCCAGCCAGAAAAGGGGTAAATACATCTGGCAATGCTGTCGCTACCCACTGAGTTCCACTGGAATGCTCTCAGCTCCTGACACACTTTATGGAAGCTGCCAGCAAACTAGGTCAGGGAGCCAAACCCCACGTGCACAGCCACCCCAGAGGAGCCCCAGTGTCCCAGGGTCTGGCAGTGCTGGGGGCAGGCTGTGCCAACAGCCTGGCTGCAGAGGATGGGTCTCTGCTGGGTCCCCCTGGGAAGCATGGCACCTCCTTCCTCCGTGAGAAATCAACCCCATCACCCGACATCCAGCACTGAAACCATGCGGGTCCCTGTTTCGCTTTCCCGTAAGTGGGAAGTGAAAGTGTCATGGGGAAGGGGTGACCCCTCCAGCTGTGGATGAGGTGTCCCCTTTTCCACCCCTGATGCCCTCCCACCTCCTCTTCATGCTCGTTGGGGTGCACGTCTACCCCATGCACAGGCCCTGTCCCCAACAGCAGGGTCACACCTTACCAGAGCCACTCCCTGGATCCCCCTGGCCACCACAGCACTGCAGACAAGCCAAGCCAGGGGATGCTGCAGCAGGGCCAGAAGAACAGGGACTGCCAACCACATGCACCCACCCCCACTTTGCAAAAGCCTTTCTACATAGCCAGGCTCTCCCTCACCTGTAGGTTTCGGGGGCCCATGTGCAAAGCTTCCCCAAGCATCAACCTCCCCATGGCGACAGAGTCCTGCCACAGGAACTACATCACTCCCTGCATGGGGCAGCATCACTCCCTGCCTCCCACAAGACACCCCCAAAATCTCAAGGGCTCACTCTGCTCTGAAACTAAGTTCTGACAGCAAACACATCCTCAATATTTCTCTAAATATCCCTATCCCTGATGTCCTGGCTGTGGCCCATAATAACTAATCTGTAGCTACTGGAGCACCCTCAGAAAACCACCATCAGCTCTTGGAGGAGCTTTCCTTGCTACCTTCCTCCCAGCACCCCAGAACAGCCACCTACCCCCAGCACTCAGCATCATGCCTCCAAAAATTGGCTTTTGAGGCTGAACCCACAAATTAAAATTGCTGCCCCTGTAATGGAGCTAGACCTAAGAACACCCTCTGCAGGTGCAGTCCCTGGGCACCCCAAACACCAACCCAATGGCCCCAGCAGTGTGAAGGTGTCCAATGGAACCTGCTTGGAGGACAAAGCAACTACCATCCTAGTTCCAGCTGCACAGCACTGGTAAGGCTCCAGGCCTTGCCATACAGACTGGGAAGCAGTGAGGAAGAGGAGGAGGAAAGCAAGGGAAGCCCACTACCAGCATCACCCAGCACCTGGGTGCTATTGGTGGTGGTTGGTGTGGCACGGGCACTGCTGGCAGGCGCCCTGGCACAGCCGCAGCTGACACTGTTTCTTGGCTGTGAACGGGGACGTGCCAGATCCACAGCAGAAAATAAATCTGAAAGCTGGGCCCTTAGGGTCCCCTGTTCCCAGCTTCACCCCCAGCATCGGCAGCACAACCACCCAGTATCCCCCAACATGTCCCTCACTCCAAACAGGCAGTAGGACCCCTGCAGTGGCACGGGAACGAGGACTATCAGCAATGCCAGGGCTCCCTGGAGACTGGGACTGAGCTGGGTTATACTGGGGTTGAGCTGGGGTGGGCTTAGGGGAGCTGGGATACACTGGAAGTGAACTGGGAAGGCTGGGGTTAAACTGAGACGTGCTGGTATTGAGCTGGGAAGTGTTGGGGTGAATTAGAATATACTGGGGAGTGCTGGGATGAACTGGGTTTGAGCTGGGATATGCTGAGGTATACTGAGGCTCAGTGGGGGTGTGCTGGGAATGAGTTGGGGTCTGTTTAGGGGCAGCTGGGGAAAACCATGGCTCAACTGGAGTGTACTGGAATTGAGCTGGGATTGAACTGGGGTGCTCTGGGGGTGAACTGGAACATAGTGCAGTGGAGCTAAGGTGTGCTGAGAGCGAGCTGGGGCATACCGGAATTTGGCTGGGGAATACTGGGGCTGAGCTGAGGTATACTGGGGTTAATCTGGGGCATGAGCACCCCAATCGGGGGGGCGGGGAGGGGCACACCGCTGTTGCAGCTGAGCTGGGGAACAATCCGTACTCCCCCCACCACCCCAGCAGCTCCCAGCGTCCCCCCCAGCTCTGTGTGCCCAGGGACCCACAGAAGCACATGGAAAGAAACACGACCTCCCCCAGGAGAGAAACCGCGGCCGAGGAGGTGGAGTGGCCCCCGTCCCGCCCCCCATCCAAGCTGGAGTTGCCCCTCCAGCCCCCCTGGAGCACCCAGTACCTCTGTCTGGTGGCAGCGGCGGCTCCCAGAGGATGCCGGGGCGCTTCCCGGGGCGGGGGCATTCAGGGCCCCCCTTGCCAGGCCCAGACTTGTTCCCGCACGGAGCTTTGGCTGCCTCATGGAAACAGGATTCAAGGGGAAGACTGCCAGGACTTTCCCCAAAAAAATAATAAATGGGTTGCGTGTGGGGTTCTTGCCTCCCCACACAATTCCCAAGGTCTTGGTGGGGGGTAAGAAGGAGAGTGGGAGGGCTTGGGGACACAGAGGGGATGTGGGGTGTCCATGGCCAGCCCTCACGGCTGCCCAGCCTGGGACAATGGTCCTTTCATGCCGGCGCTCAGGGACCGGGACACGCTGGCTGCCTGCTCCGGGGGTGGGAATGCCCCCCCGCTCGGCCCCTCGCCCACGCGAGGCCTCGGGCAGGAGGGGCCATGGCTCAGCCCCACAGCTAGGGTATGGTGCTCGGTGGGGCTCAGCCAGGGAGACACTGTGAAATACCCCAAAAAGCTCCTCTACTGCGTGCATCCCCCCTACTCCTGGAATTCCCACTCCCCCAGTCTGTCATATCCTCCCACTCCCCGGAGCCATCACATCCCCCACGTTATCCCATCCTGCTCCCCAGAACCATCACATGCCCCTGCTCTCCTATCCTGGACCCTCGGGTCCGTCTGGGGGGGGGCTACCCTCCCAAAGGCTTTGGCAGAGGATAAGGGTGCCGTGGCCTTACCCAGCTCGGGGGGTGTCACACAACAAAGTGCTCTCTGAGACCCCAGGGGCCAGTGGCAATGCCCGAGCCTCATCCCTGAAGGGCTGAAGCCTTGTAGTCCTTCCCAGCAGCATTTCAGGGATCACCTACGTCAGTACCCGAGGATGTCCTCAGCACAGCCCCGAGATCATTGCCCCCCTCCACATATCCTACCTGAGCCCCAGCTCTTCTCAAACCCCCTGGCACCAGAAAAGTGCCAGAGCACATTCCACTTCCCTTTGGAGCCATCTTCTCTCTTCGGTACTGCAGTTCTGGGTCTCCAGCTGTACCTCCCAGAGCTGACAGACCTAAACCCTTCCCACAAGGGGCTTTATCCCATCACCTGCCCTGCTATGTGTCCCCCTGGCTCCAGAGCTGCTGCAGTACACCCTGTATCCAGTTTGTCTCCATTTTCAACCTGCCAGGAGGATGGCGGCCAGGTTCCTTTTTAATTGGGTTCTATTTTTAATTGGGATCAGTGCAGGAGGGTGGGAGGGGTAGGAGGGCGTGGTGGGTGGAAATTGACAGGAGAAATGGCAAGCAAGTCCCTAGTGCCCACCCCAGCCCCACTCACCAAGACCCTGCTCTGGTGTAGAGCAGAGCTGAGCCCTGCTGAGTGTTGGGGTGCCAGAGCACTAGGAGGGCAGAAGTGGGGTGCACACACAACTTTGCTCCAGGAAGAGACAAGAGTCCTGGGGCTCCACAAAGGGCCCACAATCTCTGGGAGTGTCAGCTCTGTTCCCCAGGATTCTCCTCCTGGAGAAGCCAGGATGTATCCCCAAAGAGTGCCCACAAAATTCAGCACCCCATGCCTCCTCTCCCAGAGGTGGTGCTGGCTTGGCTGGGGCTGTGGGAAAACCAGCTACAGGAGCATGTAGCCTCATCCCTAATCAGTGCCCAGCACAAATTCAGTTTAGGAGTTTCTCCGTCACCCTCTGGTGGCATCACCATCACCCAGAGCCCCCCTGGAGGTCCCCACAACCCCTGAGGGTCTCACCAGCACCCACCATGAGCAGGGACCCACTGCCTGAACGTATTATGGAGACAGGGATGGCTCCCAAATGACCGAGGTGGGACAGAGGCTGAGTCCTTCCCATGCCAGATTTAATTATTTTATTCCTAAATAATCAGCTCCAGTACAAGGTACAAAATCTCCCATGTCCCTGTGCACCCCCAGAAAAGAAGGGGGCAGGAGCATGGCCAAAGACCAGCTCCCAAACCCCCAGTCAAGGCCTCAAATTCCAGTGGAGGAAGGGTCCAGGCACCCAGCTTGGAAAGGGTCCCCATCCTGGAAAGGTGAGGGAGGGGACAGGAGCCTTCAGAGACTCACAGAACATCTGGAGGTGCCAGGAGCCCACCCACCAAGTCCTCTCAATGTGCCTGAAGATGCTGGCAGCCCCTAGAGACACTCAGCACACCTGGAGGTGTGAACTTACCCCAAAGCCTCCCCCAAACAAACCTGAAGATGCTGAGAGCTCGTAAGATCCACCCCCAGATGAATGGAGATCCCACAAGCCCCCAAAACACCCACTGCAGCACATCTGGAGGTGCCATGAGCCACTCAACTCCTCCTACACGCCTGAAGGTAAGACCCCAATATCCCCTTCAACATGCTGGAGGCGCCAGGAGCCTAGAAGCTTCCCCTCTACATGCTTGGGGATGCCAAAAAACCCCAAAGGCCCTCCTTCCCAGCATGCCAGGAGGTGCCAGGAGCCTCCCAAAATCCCTCTGCATGCCCAGAGGTCCAGGCAGGTGCCCAAGCACCCCCTGGGGGTCTGCTGGGGGTGGGGATCCCATGAGATGAAGGCAGTTCTGTTGGACCAAAACAGAGGTGGGGAGCAAGGATGGAGGGCAGAGGGGGAGCGCAGTGGAAGGGTCTCCAGGGCTGAGGAGGAGGCACAGGGTCCCCCTTTTCCTCTGCCCTCTCAAAAGCTGAAGGGCACTTTGGGTTTGCCATCAATAGGGACAATACTGGTGTCCCACAAGGGCTAAGTGACCAGACAACCCCCAACTTCCCACCCTAGGGGACCCACTATGTCCCTGCTGTCCCCAGACAGGGGTACAACAATGGGGGGGTCCCCCTGAACCCAAAGTGGGGTGCATGTGTACAGGTATGTGAGATAGAGACACAAACCATGTTGGAAGTGGGGGGACAGGGAGAGGAGCCCCCAGGGGGGGTCATGTCAGGCTGTCCTAGCCACGGAAACAAGAAGAGGAGCTCCCAAGGGAATCAGGTCAGGCTGTCCTCATCACTGCCCTCGCCACGGTCCTCCTTGCTCTCGGCCAGGGAACTTTCATCAATGTTTTCCAGGGAATCCGCATGCTGGAGGGAGAGCTCGGAGAGTGCCAGGGCTGGGAGCCGGCTCTGCTCCGGAAACAGCCAGGGCTTAAAGTGAGGGTCGTGCTTCTGCTTCCACTCAGGGTACTTGAGGCATGCCTTGTACATCTTCTTCATCGCCTGGGAGGAAGAGTGAGATGGGCACAGAGGCCCCTTGCCCCCACACCAGACCCACCCCAGCGCCACAAACTCACCTTGGGGGCCAGGAACTGGGAGGATTTGTTCACCACCCACTTTGGTAAAGAACCTGGAGAGAAGGGAGGGGCGGCTGGGAGTGGGACCCCCAGCATCCCCCAGGTGCCTGAAAACCAGGACCCCCACGGCATTCTCAGTGGGGACATGTGGCTGGAGAGAGGGAACAGGGTTCAATCCGTACTGCTCTCTGCTCTTGCAGAGGTCAAAAAGAGTGACTTCAGCATTTTGGGTCCCTCTTCAACCCCCAAAAATGAAAGATTTCAAGAGAACAGGCCCAGGATGTTTTCTCCTGACATTGCTCCATGCTCTGTGCCTGGCTCTGGCCGCATCCTGAGCCCACCTCAAGCATATCCACTGGTCCTCCTGAACCCACCCCAAGTCCCCCTGAGCCCAACCTGAGACTTCTTGAAGCCCTACTGACCTTGCCCTGACGTCCCAGAGCCCCAACTGAATCCCGACTGAGCCACACTCAGCGCAACCTGAGGTCCCACTGAGCCCCCATTAAGTCCAAGTGAGTGCCCATTCAGCCTCCCCCGACCACCTTGAGCCCCCCAAGCTACTCTTGAGTCCCCATTAAGCCCCAATAGAGGCCACCCTGAACTCCCAATGAGCATACACTCATGAGAACCCATGAGACGCTCACTAAGTCCCCCTGAGTTCCCCCAAGACCCTACAGGGCCCCTCCCCACGCACACACTGACATGAGGGAAGGTCTTGAGGGTACTGAGCCCCAAGGCACAGAGCTAGGGGTCCCTCTCTTACCTTTGGGGTCCACCTGTGCCAGGTAGGTGATGGTGCAGCTCTTGGCACCTGTCCCCTCGATCAGGTAGCCTGTCTGGATGGAGACTGCCCGCACCATGTCCTTGCGGGGTGGGTACTTCTGTGGTGGGGAACAAGGAACGAACACGAGTCAGTGGCAGGGCAGGTGGAGTACAGCAGGCCCCAGCCACAAGCAGGGCTGTCTCAGCCCCCTCAACTCTCCAACCTATCCCCCCAAAGCTCTGAGTGAGCCCCAACCGCAGCCCAGCACCACAGGACCCCTGGTGCCCCACTGAACTCACAGGATGCTTGACAGAGTAGTTCATGATGATGTAGTCAGAGCCCATGGGCAGCCAGGAGCGGAGTGTGACCACGTCCCGGTTCTTCAGGGGCTTGGGACACCTCCCTAGGGACAGCACCAGGTGGAATGTTCCAGAGTAAGACACCCACCTTCAAGTACGGGGTCCCCTTCTGCCCTCCATATCCCCCCCAAACGGGCATCCAGGCTCCTCCATTCAATGCCAGACACCATGGAACCCCTGGATACCAAGCACAGGGGTACAGTGGTAGCAGCCCTGGGGTTCAGCCCTCCCCCAGGACCACCCAGATCCCCTCAGCCCCCTCCTCACAGGCGTAGTAGCCCACATCGGAGTTGGCCGTCAGCCTCCCGATGTCAAAGGTCTCGATGACGTTGGTGTCCCACTTCTTGCGGTACTCGATGTCATGGAGCACATCGTACAGCGTCTCTGCCGGCACGTCCCTGCACTCCATCCTGCACTGCAAGGCAGTGGGCATGAGAGACCTACCAGGGGTCCCCAGGGTGGCAGAGCGGCCGTGGGGACCCCCAGGCAGGAGGGAGGCGGTGGGGACCTCAAAATGTGAGAGTGGCGATGGGGACCCCTGGGCGAGAGGGTGGCAATGGGGACCCCAAGTGGGAAGGCAGCTGTGGGAAGCCCCAGCAAGCGGTGGGGGAGGTGTCTCCTCTCAGTTTGTTTTTTTTTTTTCAAAAATCAATGCAACCTCCTCCAAGAAAACCTGGAACTCAACCAGCAGCTCAGTTTGCCACCCCAGAGCCTCTCATAGCACAGGCATGCAGGGCCTCAAGGCAATGTGGAGCTGAGTCCTGGGTACTAGGGGACCCTGTTTCTCACCTGCCCCCTCATCACTATGGATATGCTCCCTGCAAAGTGGCATCTCTGCACAGGGGAACCCGGGGGAAGCCAGTATGTGGGGCTGTGCCCTGTGCCTTGGGGCAGTATGGATCACACAGAAGGGGTTGGGGGGTGCAGAGTGGGGAGCTGTTCTGTAACCACGGCAGCCAGATCCAGGGAAGGCAAGGAGACAAGGAGAACAGAGAAGGTGAGAGCAGCTACCCCTGTAGCAGGTATGCCATCTGCTGAGGTCAAAGGCACTGGAGCCAAGCATGGGGCAGAGAGAGCAGCCAGCAGCCTGTCCCTGGGAATGCCATCGGTTCCTGTTTATCTTCAGGGATGGCACCAGTTCCTCCTGCCACCTAGACCCTATAGTTCAGGATTTAGGAGTGGCCCTGTCACCTCAGCACACGGTACTAGAGACACCCCAGCCCTGGGAAGGGGCATAGAAGCACACAGCAATGGGGCACAGCCTCATATGGCCCCTTGGTGGGACACAGCAATGGAGCCTGTTCCCCACAGCATTCGTCCTCAATCCCATCCTTGCCCCACAGAGCCCAGCCTCACCCCCACAGATCCATCCCTGCCCCATGGAGTCTGCCCCCAACCCCACAGTGCTCATTCTCAATCTCAGAGACCCATCCCTGCTCCACAGAGCCGATCTCCAGCTCCTCCATTCACCCACAAACTTGTCTGAGAACACCCACCCCTGCAGGGCAGTTTTGGGGAGAGCCTGCCTGGATGACTTGCTTGAAGAACCCCTGCTCCCACCTGCACCCAGGCCAGCCCGGCACCATGCTCAGGTGGATTATTCCCAGAGCAGCGAGGCTGGTCAAGCCAGTAGTGCAGGACCTGCCCTGCAGGTGACTCACAGCCTGGGGGGGTGCTAGGGGGGTCGAAGCAGGAGAGGAGATGGTGCCACCTGGGAAGCGTCCGGAAATGCACGCCCCAATCCTGAGTCAATATTGACTAATGGGGTGAGAAGGAGGATGAAGAGGAGGTGGAGGAGGAAGAAATGAAGTCCCCAGGGCTGGGGTTATGCTGTGCCCAAGGGAACATACAATAGGTGCCTGGGGAGTGGTGACGGCTGCAGCCATCAATGGGGTCCCCAAGCTCAGCCTCACTGGCGGCTTCTTCAAAACCCCAGATCCTTCTGCTGCATCCTACAGGGTGGCTCCTGGCTATCCTTTGGGAACAGCCCATTTAGAGGGGAAACCATCGTCCCTGGGAGATCTCAGATGCCCAGGCACCAACTCACTGCCCCATCAGGTAGGATGGGGTGTGTCCTGGCTGGGTTCCCCCAAGCCGTAGCCAGTCCCAAGGCCACCAAATGTCCCACTGAGAAATCAGCCATGGCACCAACTTGTTCCCAGACTCCAGAAAACAGGTTAGACGGGAGCTGCATCCCTAATGGAGGGGGGTGGGGAGGAGGGGGCGGCTGTCTCAGAGCAGGGCGAAACCTTCAGGTTCCACTTAATTAGGCAAGGAATCCAGGAGGAATCCAGGATGAACTCAGGGGGAAACTAGCTCTTGGGAAGCTGAGAATCCCCAGCACCCACACAGAGACCTCCAGCGTGAGGGAAAAACCCCTGGGCTGCACCTTGCCGTGCCACATCAGCAATGCCACATGAGTCCATCCCTTCAAAATCCAGCAGGAGTATCTCATGCTGGGTGGGATGGTGGGCCTGGGTGCTGCTGGGGACCATGGGAGAGGGGACAAGGACTGTCAGCTCACAGGGTGTCTAATATCCAGGGGCACACACATGGAATCAACACATTAACAACCACCAGAACTTTTACAAGCAGGATTTGTCCAGGAGGGCTTGGAAAGGGGCAGGACCTGCCTCAGGGACCCCAGCAGGCAAAAAGACAGCTCCAGGTGCCGTGGCGTGGCGGGAGCAGCTGTGCCAGGACATCCTGGAGTGGGCTGGGTCCCTGCAACGCCAACGTGGCACACTGGGATTGTGGGACAGGCAGGGGACGCACCCAAGCGCCACCTCAATCTGGGAGATGTTTCGGTATGCAACCCCCAAGGGCAAGCAGCAGGGGTACGGGACACAAGGAGCTTGGGGGGAGTGTGAGGGGGAGTCAGGATGCACTGTCCCACAGAGCTATGCCCATGCCATCATGCCTGGATTCCACAGTGATGGACACTCCGCATCCCACCCACCACGGGTCCCCATCTCTCTGGGGACAGGGTAGGGTGCAAGTGGCACCAGTGACTCTCTAGACCCCAGAGATCACCATCCCCCCTCCCAGGGTTCACTGCTGCCACCAGGGCACAACAGGGACCTGTTCCTGGGTCATGGCAGCCCAAACTCCTCCAACATGCTGTAATGGAAACAGCCCAGTGGTTCCACGGCAGGAGCTGGGCACAGCCAGTGCCAGTGCCCCAGGGACAGGTTTCCCCAGCAGCGCCGGTGCCAAGTGCTGCAGAGCACTGTGTGAGCAGGCCGCGTCGTCACTGCTGCCACCGTCACTGCCACTGCCACTACCCTGGCTCGACACCACAGCAAGGGCGATGCCACCCACTACACCAGGACAGCTTAACGAAGGTGCCACCAGAGACAGGAACACAGGCCAGAAACTCCAGTGTAACCCCATCTGGATACTCCTGTCTCAAGTTGTCCCTTGAAACCCCAGTGTCCCCGCTTTGCCAGAGGGAAAAGCCAGGATGAGCGTGCACCTGCCTGTGCCAGCACAGTGGCACCAAGAGGGAAGGGACCCACGCAGTGGGAAATGCAGTGGGGACACAGGGAGCTCTGGGCAAAGGGGACAACCCCAGTGCCAGTAGGCCAGTGGCTGCAGGCTCCAAGGAGACCCCTAGCCCAGCAAGCATGGGAGGTGCATTCCCAATGGGTGAAGTGGGGAGAAGAAGCACCCAGGATCCATGACCCCACACTCCCTAGGGGTTCCTATTTGTCCCTGGCTGAGTCCCCGGTCCCCCCTGCACATCCCTCACGGGTGCCTACTTGTCCCTGGCTCGGCCCTGGAGTTGTGTTTGTCCTGGCGTCTCCACTCCCCCCGAGACTGCCCATTTTGTCCTGGTGTGCCAGTTAACCCCCCCTGTCCTAGGGTCCCTGCTGGCCATCGGGGGCCATCTCGGCCAAGTCTCCACTTGCCCCAAGCTGCTGCATGACCTGAGGGACCCCACTGTTCCCTGGGATTCCCACTCACCCGTGGGTGGTGATTCAACCCCTGAGTTCCCACTCACTATGGGGTCCCCAGTCCCCGTTCACTGTAGGTCCCCGCTTCTTCTCCTCAAGCCCAAGGTGCAGCATCGCCCCAGGGTCCCTTCTGCCTCCAGGTCCCCTACGGGATCCCCGCGCCACCCTCTTGCCGCTGGGTACCCCAATCCCGAGGGGATGCCGGGGCGGTCTCACCGTGCACCGGGGGCGCCCGGGGTGGGTGGGGATGTCTCACCGTGCACCAGGGTGTGCCAGGCGGGAGGTCTCACCTTGATCTTGTGGAGGGCACGCTCGGGCTCCAGCAGCTGCACCCAGACCCCCACCCCGCCCTTGCTGTAGGTGAGGCTCCAGCCGCGCTCCGACTCGCACTCTGCCCGGAACGCCCCGAAGTCCCGGTCGTCGGGGATCTGCACGCTGTCGCGACCCGCCATGCCGCCGTCGTGACCCGACATAGCCCCGGAACGCCCCTGCCCCGCCGGTGCCGGTGCCGCGGGAGGCGCCAGCCCCTACGGCGGCATTGCGGGGCGCGGGGCGCGATGGGACCGGCAGGGGCGGGCCGGGGGCGGGCCGGGGGCGGGGAGCACCGAGGGGCGGGATCGGGGGGAGACCTGGGGGAAAACTGGGGGGGAACCGGAGCAGCGGGAGGGAGGAGGAGGGGAAGGGGCGCGGGGAGAAGTAGCCGGGGGGAGAACGGGAACGTGGAAGCTGAAACCGGACGGAGCAGGCGGGAACCGGGAGCACTGGGAGGAAGGGCAGCCCGTGGTGGAGGGGAGCAGCCCAGGTTGGCGGCGTACCGGGAGCAGCCGCAGGACACAGGTGCAGAGTTGTGGCACTTGCAGGGTCACCTGCACTGCGCGCCAAGGAAGGTTTAGGTTGGATATTGGGAAAATTTCTTCTCTGAAAGGGTTGTCCAGCCCTGGTACTGGTGGAGTCCCCACTGTGGAGGGGTTTAAAAAACTGTAGATGGCACGTGAGGACATGGGTTAATAGTGGCTTTGGCAGTACTGGGGGAGTGTTTGGACTCAATGGTTTCAGCGAGCTTTTCCAACCCAAATGATTCCATTATTCCAGTTGGGGTAGGAGGGGACACAAGTGCAGGACAGAGACCCATAGCCTCTCTCCAGGCCGCAGGTCACCCTGATGTGACACTGTCACCGGTACTCGTGCAGCACATAAGCATTATCCATCTTTTGTGCCAATGCTGGGCGGCCTTGCCATAGCATCCCCACAGTACCGTGGCCAGGAGCAGGTGGGCATGCTGCCATTGGCAATGCTGACTAGGATGTTATTTTTGGAAGAGCCTAGGCTTTGGCTCCCATCCAGCTCTGAAAATGCTGCTGACTCAGGTTTTCTTTCTGTCCATTTGGGAACACCGAGGAACCCTCTTCCAGCTCCCATGAATAACTGTGTAAATGATGACAGAGCACTGTGGCGTTTACCTAGACTGGCAAAGCAAAGCCTGTCTCAGCAGCAGGAATGTGGGACCAAGTCCCTTTTCCAGGATGAAGTCCTTACAGGGATGCAGTAGCCAGAGGGATAAGAGGGCACAGGGATGTCACCATGCTCAGCACTTGTGAGGAGACAGGGACCTGGCATCACAGGGGTCACCATGCCACACCACTGCTCCCAGCATCCTCACCTGGGAAAAGGAACCAAGGGAATCTCTGGCATCCTATCCCACTGGAAGTGGACATCTGCAGTGGATGGCTGGCAACAGGGTGCTGTGGCTGGTGCAGGGGGACCTTCTCCCCTCATCCTTCTCTCTCTGCCCTTTCTGGCAGCTCTGCTGTGGAAGCCTGGGCTGTTCCTACCCTGTGTCCAGGGAGGTGGAAAGGTGAAAGCCATCACACTACAGTCCTTCCCAGTCCTCAGTTGTCCTGGTGCTGGAAGCAGAACACCCACATTCCCAGCCAGCCCAGCCATGTGGCACCACATGCCATTTCCAGTCTGGAACACAGATGGCATGGGAGTCATGGGGTAAGGGAGGACAGGCTGGGGGGATGGGGTAGCTGGGCTGAGTAGCTGGGGAAACTGTACTGGGAAACTGAGGGAACTGGGCTATTGGAGCTGGGAGAAGTCGGGAAGCTGGGCTGAGGAGCATGGGGAGCTGGAGAGACTGGGCTGGGTACCTGGGGGAACTGGGCTGTTAGAGCTGGAAGAACTGGACTGAGCAACTGAGCAAGAGGAGCCAGCAGTCAGTTTGGAGAAGCTGGGCTGGGCAACGGGGACCACTGGGCTCATCGAGCTGGAAGAACTGGGCTGGGGAACTAGAAGCACTGGGCTAATGGAATTGGGAAAGTGGCCTGGGAAACTGGGAGCACTGAGCTGATGGAGCTGGGTGAGCTGGGCTGGGAAACTGGGAACACTGAGCTGATAGAGCTGGGCTGGGGAAGTGGGAGCACTGAGCTGATGGAGCTAGGGGAAGTGGACTGGGGAACTGGGAGCACTGTGCTGCCCCCAGTCTGGGTGCAGAAATGCCCATTTCTGACACTCTCCCCCACACTCCTGGGTCTTTCCCAGCTTCCCAGTCCTTATTCCTGCTCCACCATCCCATATCTGCCAGCAGTGTGCAGAGCTATATCCAGGAATCAGTAATTCAGGCAATAAGCCCAAGCCTTCTTAAAAAAAAAAAAAAAAAAAAAAAAAATTAAAAAAAATAAAATCCCTAAAATGCATCTTTTTGGCAGCTCTGTTTAATCCAGGAATTTGTGGGACCCTGTGGAAGCACTGGCGTGATGGTGGGATGGAAAACTGGACAAAGAGCTGCTTGGATAATGGGGGGAAATGGGGAGAACTGGGGTGAAACAGGAGGAAATTGGCAGAATGGCAAATCCTGGGGTGGGAAAGGGCTGTGGGCAACTTTGGAGGACAGCATGGGCACACACATGTGCACTCACACACACATGCATACTCGTACATTTGCCCACACAGGTGTCCCCCAGAGGCATCTGCTCTCAGCCCAGCCTGCAGCAGATGCCCAGGATTTGAACGAGCACATTTGCAAGTTCTGCCTGGGGGTTCAAGTGTGGATACACACGTGTGGCTGTGCACACAGGAGAGCACGCGTGTGCGCAGGAGTGCATGTAGAAACAGCCCTGTGTGTGCAAAAGCACAGGTGTTTGTGTGCACCCCTGTGTGTGAATGTGTGTGCGTGTGAGTACATGTGTGTGACCACACACCATGTGCGTGTGCAGGTGTGTCCATGTGTGACATGTGGTGTGTGTGGTGTTTGGTGTATGTTTGGTGTATGTGGTGTTTCGTGTGCGTGTTTGGTGTATGTTTGGTGTGTGTGTGAGGTGTTTCGTGTATGTTTGGTGTATGTTTGGTGTTTCGTGTGTGCATGTTTGGTGTATGTTTGGTGTTTCATGTGCGTGCGCGCCCTGCGCTGCGCCCCCTGCCGGAGCCCGCCACCCACTTACCTGCGTGTCCCACAGCCGACGCTGTTTTTCCCGGCATGCCCCAGGAAGGCCGCGCCGCGGCGCCTCCTGGGGGTTGTAGTCCGCGGCGGCGAAAAAGCGGGCCGCAGGGCGCTGTGGGGACTATATCTCCCGGCATGCCTTGCGCGTCCCCTGCATCAAGATCCGCCGGCCGGCAGCCGCCATCTTGGTCCACCGGCTTCAGCTGCGGGGGGGGGTAAGGTGCGAGCGGCGCAGCGGGAGGAGCGAGGGGACTATGCTGGCCTCTCTGGCGTTCCGTCCGCTGCCACAGGGGCTAGCGCGGCTCCTCCGAGCGCGGCCATGGTGGTCGCCGTCACGTGCGACCTACGGGACTGCGGCGGCTGCTGCGGCTGAGGGGGCCGGAGCTGCCCGACCGCGGCTGCTCCCGGTATTTGCCGCCAGGGGGCGCCGTGAGCTCGCGCCTCCGCCAAGAGCGAAGCTGCCATGGCGGATCGCCGCCTGCAGGGGGCGACAGCGGGGCCTGGGGGGGAAAGCCCCGATAGCGGGGCCGGTCCCCGGGGGCTCTCCGGTAGCTGTTCCTCCAGGCCCCGCTTTACCTGTGGGGCCAGGCCCAGGGCGCTCTCCCGTAGTTAATGGGCCAGGCCTAAAGGGGACCACCACAGCGGAGAGGCCAGGGCTGCCTGTTCCAGACCTGGTCCCAATGCAGACCTCCCGGCCACCTGCCACCGGTGTGGCCAGCACTGGCTGCCTTGTGCCAGGAACATCGTCCAGCCTCATGGCATCCCTCAGAGAGCCGACGCCATGGCCCTCAGGTGCAGAGCAGCACTGCTGTCATGCGGGAGACCCCGGCGGGCACCAGAGTGGAGCTGGGAGCTGCTCCCCGGGAGCAGGGCTGCCTGCCCTCATCGCTGCGCTGGCTTACTGCTTCCTGCAGGACCGCCTATCCAAGGGTGACTATCGCTGCTGCGGCCGGTCCTGGGGCGGGAGGAGTGGGACAGAGAGTTCTCTGCCCTTTGGGAGGGGATTTGGGGTCCCTCCTTGGGGATGGAACCTGCTTGCTGACTGTGACCTGGGAAACTCTCCGGGGAAGGGGTTATCCTTAACACTTCAGTGCATAAAGGAGCTCCAAGAGAGCTAGACAGAGACTTTAGACGTGGGTCTGGAGAGACAGGATAAGGGGGAATGGTTTCCCACTGACTGCCTTCTTTTAACCCTGAGGGTAGGCTTAGATGGACTATTGGGAAGAAATTCTTGCCTGAGGTTTGGTAAGGCCCTGGCACAGGTTGCCCAGAGAAGCTGTGGCTGCCCTATCCCTTGGAAGTGTTCATGGACCTCTTGGACAAGGCTGGGAGCAGCGGTCTGATAGAAGGAGTCCCTCCTCATGACAGAGATGTGCAATGAGATATACTTTAAGGTCCCTCCCAATCCAAACTGTCACTTATCCCATCTCCCAGAGCTGAGTGCTGCTCTTCCCTTCTCTAGCCAGGGGGTGTCATTCTGACTCTGTGGTAGGAACCTGCTTGGAAACCCAAGGCTGACACCTTGGGGTGACGGTGTCCACTGCCCAGGGATGCTTACTGCACTCTGCAGCCCCGTGTTCTCAGAGTGTGTGATGAGGGGCTGGAATCAGTCACCAAGACAGCAAGGAGTTTTTAGGTAACCTGCTCGCACGATTAGGCTCTTGCTCACTGGGGTGGTCAGTGAGAGCTCTGAGCAGCAGCAGCTCCTGCACATTCCAGGTTAGGATGGCCATGTATGTCCTCCACACTAACTCCCTCTCCCTTCTTTCTGCATTTCAGAGGATGCCCTTCTGGAAGCTGCAAGAATTAACAACGTTGCAGAAGTCAACAGGTGAGCAGAATTCTGAGACGTGAGTGCAGTGTACCAAGGGCTGGGAAGGCAGGAAAACCCTGTCAGCACCTAGGGAAGGAAGTGGCTGGCTGCTCCCAGCCCCCATGGAGTGCTCCCCTCACCCTCTCAGATCCAGAGTATGTGGGGAGAGATGAGCAGCACTATTACTTGTTGAGTAGGAG